CTGCGGTAATGGCATGTTACATCTTCGTGCCAGATCCACAATACCGTGCTTGTTCAGTGTGGGAAGCTGTTTAAAAATGACTTTCCTATTAGAGTATATAGCTTAGTCTCTAGATGGAAAAAGCCAGATCAAAGATATAGCATTTATAAAACTGCTGGTTAAAAAGATAAAAGTGAGATAACAGACATCAATTTTTCACTATAAATCTTCTGGTTTACTACAACATTAAAATTTCCAGTAAAAGCAGGGTTTTATATACCTGAACTCTAATGGCCTATTCTGAAAATATTTATGTCAGGAAAAGCATGGTATTTGCATGCCAAAGGCAATTTTAGTGCCAATATTTAGCATTCCCTTCCCATTTAACTCCTTCCCATCTACTCAGTGTGAGATGCTCTGCTTAATGCCTACCTCATGTGCCTCCCCACCCAGCCTTTTGGAGGAGGACACTCCAAGTGCACACTAAGGCTAAAAGTCAACACTTCTAATAAAATACCACTGCACAAAATACTTGCCTGATGGCTTTAGGATGGAGTCCCTGGCATGGCCTGAACCAGTGATTTTACCTCTATGCTTTGCATGCAAAACTACTCATTTCCAAGGGGCTAACTGCCTAACCAAAGTGAAAAATGGGGGCAGAAGGACAGGAAATTGGGCAACACAAAGCAACAGCTCAAAGAACTCTCCGTACTAAGATACTATTTCTGGATGTATGGGTAGTACTCCACTAGGTTTATTCTAAAACTAAAATTGGAGCACAATTCTGTGAGAGGCAAGTGTCTCGCCTTCAACATACGGACATTTTATTTAGTGCTAAGGGAGGGCATTTTTTCACCTACCCGGCCACACTCAGCAATCAGCAGGATTAACACAACAGAAAAGTAGCTGTTTTACCTATTTATTCTACTATAAAGTTCCTTAGGTATAATAACACAGGCTAACGGCCTTACACTGTGACATATGGAACTCTCAGAATATGGAAGTTTATACTACTTCAGTTTTTGCAAACTGTAATTTCCTAAATTTAAGAAAGCTTTAGCAACGTAGGCTGATTTTCAGAAAAGTTTTGCTTTCTTCCCAGCTTCATACTAGCATGTGTAGGCCCCAGCTTTTCAGGATAAGCCGTTAACATAAATGTAACTTATCAAAACACAGCAAAACCACACAGAAACACTAGAAGTCTCTACTTGCCTCATCTCTCTGGGCTTTTAGGTTTGGGGGTTTTTTGTTTGTCTGTTTTTATGGAATAAAATTAGATTTCAGCATCTGTCACCATCAAGAAAAAAAAGCTCATTTCTGGCTCCCACATGAAAACATTGTAACCAATGCACAGTTACTGAACCATGATGCCTTAATGATCATTACACAAATCAACTTTTTTTTTCTTTGAAATAACGAAATTAAGAATGTGCTTTTATAATTACTTGAATCAGGCTGTCAGGTTATAAATTTAATAAACCCCCAGTATGATTAAATTGTAAAAGTAACGTGTACCACACAACTCTGTGTATGTGTGGATTCTTTTCATTTTGACTTATTCAGGTGTGCCGATTAAATCTTAGTGAACAATGCTGTTAGTTTTGCCATTCTACCACAAAAAACCAACAACCTGGGAGCAGACAGAAAGCACTTGGAAATGTAAGGTTTTAAATACCGACATTAGTTTTTTCGCCAATTACAGTTCCAAAACTCCCCAAAGATATTATGTATTCAAGCAATTTGAATTTTATCTTCCTTAGCTCAGTATAACCACAGTAACTTTTAAAAGTATATATCTTGAATTTAACAGAATCTGAATTTATGCTACAGATAAAATATTGATCCTTAAAAACACAGAAACTTTAAAAATATACAGAATGCATACAGAAGGAATCTTCTAGCTCAGTCCCCAGTCTCATTCCAAAGACAGTCCCTTTTCTTCGGGAAAGCCAACAAGCCGCCAGCAAAGCATGCCATGAAACTACAAGTACGCAAATCACCACTCACCTAAGCCAGAGCTCACTCTCACTAACATCACTGCAATCTCTTCTTGCTCCCTCCAGCTCTCCCTTATCTTGCTCTGTGACTTCTGCCACACCGAGCCCCTGCAGCCAGCTGTTTTTTGGGCATCAGGTCTACATGTGGTCCTCTGTCAATCGGGTAACTTGCCAAATGCACTAACACAGCACAAGGGAAGATGCTTGCTTTTTACCTCGGTGCTAGCTAAGTAGAAACTTCTGTAGCGCACCATTTAATAATTCTTCTGTACAAAGTGCTCTTGTCAGCAGAACATTATCTGCAGTCTCCTGGCTCAGGCAAGTCCAGCCACCTTGCAGATGCTGGCTGCTTAGACACCCAATCTAATGGTGACCCAAATCAGTTCCTTGAAAAACAAAATTAATAAAAAGGCCCTCCAGCAAACAACTATCTTTGTCCACTGGAAGAGCTGTTTTAGGTCACATACTGTTTTATACCACAAGTCCAGACTACACTCAGGAGTTAATCAAGTTTTTATATCCAAAATATGATAAGAGCAGCAATGTTCAATTTTAGTGATATTAAAAACAAAACTATTAACCAATGCATCATTCTCTAATATGCATCCTCCAGACTTTTCACTGACTGGAAGTGATTAGGATTTCCAGTTTTAAGGAGGAAACCAATAATACCCCAGATTAAAAACCAAACCAAACCAAAAAAAGCCCAACAACCAACAACAAAACAACAATGGGTCTCTCTCAAGAGAGGTTCCATTAAATAATATGTTTGAACAAGCCTCTTTTTTGTGCAAGGAAAACTTCTTTGCCCCGAGAAATATTTCTCTGTACCACTGACAAGCTCCAATGCACCTTTTTTTTATGATACAGGTATCTCCTTAAATATCTTGGTTTGGCTACTTATTTTAAGTTTATTAATTGGCTGACTAGTAGGCAGCTGGTTAGAGAAGGCACAACACATCCAGTTCACCTAAGAGGTTACTTCTGTGAAGCAGTCTTCTGCTACAAATGGCATTTGGCTAACTACAGACCCAGACACTTGCTTCACATGTAAGTTAACATCACATTGCTTAAACTGGGGAGAAGAATAACCGCTGAGAATACAAGCATAATCTCCACAATAAAAGGGAAAAGAACTATGTGTTTGCTGTTGTTTGTTTTCTATACTTGGTAACAAAGTTTGTACAAGAATCTAAATTTTATACCAACAGTCTAAAAAAACCTGCACCGCATCTTCTGGAAGCTTTTACACTTCTCCTTGATTACCTGTCTGTTTTAAAGTCAGCATTGGAAGAGCTGTCCCGCCTAGCAATTTTAAGACTGTGCACTTAAATGAATATACTACCACACAAATCGGATCAGATCAAAATTATACGGACCAATAGACTGGTTTCATACCTTAGGTTTGCGGAGAACTGCAATGGAAAGGGGAAGGTGTAGAAAACGGACAGTTCTCTAACCCCAAGTCTTGACATGTAAATAAAGACATCTGAGGAGCACACAGGTTGGAAGCTGCTGTAACATTCTATCATAATTAGAAACATTTCAAGAGCCCTGTAATTTCCAATCAAAATTACAGTAATTTCCGATATACAAGCCATGATTCATGACAGAATTTTTACATTCCATGGGAGATTATAGTGGCCTGATGTATGACACACTGAGTACAGCACTAACATAAACAATTCAGTTTAATGTTTAAACAGCACTTGGTGTTTAGAATCCCACAATAAAAGAAACATATTATTGTAGAAATTATCACTTTGACAGTGATTGAAGGGTAGGCAGGCATGTGGCCTATAAAGCTGTAATTTTTACAGTCCACAGCTTGAGTTTAATCATTTTGATATAACATTTCCAAAATATCCCTTTAAATGCTCCTTACAGCATATAACTTAAGAGACAACAACCTTTCTGCACAATGAAGTGGAGAAAACTCCAAAATGTGAACAACACAGAAGTCAAAAGTTAAAAATTGTTAAAAAGAAAATCAGCACGAAAATGCTGATGGCCTAAGAAACTCTGATCTAACTGTTATCGGTTTTCCCTGGAAAATGCTGTATTTTCCTATGAAACAATTTCAGAAAAGTAAAAGAATAGTGATTAAGTGGACTTAACATTTAATCCAATGTGAAAATTCTACACTGCAAGTATTAGCGCCTATACCATTTCTTTCAGATGTTGGTTTAAACATGGTTCTATAGCCTTTCTCACTTTTCTGTATGTTTTTACTTACTTCTTGAGCACATTCTCACTTAAATCAGTGCTTTTGCATACTCCAGTGATCTATCTCAGAAGACATGTCACTTATGATAATCACACCCAACAAGTGCTTGCTGATTTCCCTCTCTTGCCACTAAACTTGACAGAAATGCTTCACTTGAAGAAAACAGAACAGGAAACCACACAACAAAGGCTTAAAACTGAATATGCAATATATGCACACATGCAGGTAAAGAAGCAGCCATTGTATTCCATAAAGATCATTCACGTTTTCTCAGATGTAACCTGTGTAGCTGCAATTTGCTGTGTTTTCTGTTTGTTTTTCTGATGTGGACACTGCTGCCCCACCTCCCATGCACAGCCTTACCCGTGGGTGTAAGTATTTCCACAAAAAAACAGAACCCCAGAGTTCAACAGCGCATGTAACTGCAAACCACCAAAGCCTAGAGATGAATTTGGTAGCACTACACAGAACTTGACCACAGCTTCTGTCACATCCATGCTAGCTAAGAACTGATGAACCTGTTGCTTTCTGAGCCACGCAAGACCCATAGGCATACAGCGAAGGCATCTTGCAGGTGGGGAACAGGGAGGGATGCATCTCAGAAAGCTGCTTCTCAACCTGCCTGGTCAAGGGTAACCAGAGGTTACCTTTGTGCTCAGCAAGGAGCCCCAAGTTATGGTAGCAGGCTGGTGGGCTAACCCATCCACTTGTAACTCACTCAGAAACAGATCAAAACTGGGGTGGGGGAAATAATCACGCAGACAGGGAGGCCATTGCGCCCCGGGAACAAGCTTTACCTGGCTTTTGGTTGCTGCAACCTTTGCAAACAGTGCTTGAGACACCTTAGCTCTCTTCATTTCCTGCTG